CGCGCGCGCTCCTCGTCGACGACCATGAGCGCGCCCTCGATGATCGCCGCGTGCACGAACACGTACTGCCGCAGGCTCTGGCACAGGCTCATCCGCTGCTCGCGCATGTCCTGCAGCACCTCCCAGATGGGGTCCTCGAGCGCGCTGAGCCGCACGGGCACGGCGGCGGCGCGCCCGTGCAGCGCGCGCGGCGCCATGTAGTCCACGTGCCGCGCATCCGGCGCGCCCGCCTGCTCGTCCGCGTTCACGCTCGCGCGCACGTTGTCGATCGAGTGCATGCTGCGGTGCTTGGGCGCCAACGCGCCGAACGGCGAGAGCGAGCGCGGGCGGTCGGGGAGCGGGGAGTTCGCAAGCGGGCGGTCGGGGAGCGGCGAGTTGGCGAGCGGGCGGTCGGCGAGGACCTTGTTCGGGAGCGGCGAGTTGGTCGGCGGGAGCAGCCACGGCGACGCGGCGAGCGCGGGCATGACCGCCGGCAGCGGGGCGTTCGGCGCAGAGAACGTGCGCAAACGGTGATCCGCGTACCCGCGCCGCACGGCCAGCGGGACGGAGGGCCCAGAGGACTTGACGAAGGGCCTGACAGAAACCGAAACCGACGTGCCGAGCTTGAGGGGGAGCGACGCGGACTTGGACTCGGGGTTTTGTGCGTGGTTCGGCGGGGAGACGGACTCGGGGAGGCTGCGCTGCGCGACGGGGAGCGTGAGGGAGAAGGTCGGGCGGTGCGTAGGAACCTGGAACTGGAAGGGCGTCGAGGCGGCGGTGGAGGGGTAGGATGACGATGCTGCGGTCGAGGGATACGATGCTGATGTTGTTGTCGAAGGGAAGGATCCTGTCGACGGGAAGGACGGTGCCGTCGAGGGAAAGGACCCCGTCGAAGGGAACGCCGACGCCACCGCCGTGGAGGGATAGGACCCCGCCTTCGTCGGGAACGCCGCCCCCCGCGTATCCGCCACGCGCTCCGCCCACCGCCTCGTCTCCCCCATATCCCCGCCAGCCTCAATCTCAACCTCAACCTCAACGCTATCAACCTGCATCGGCGTGCGCATCCCCCTCCCCTCGCTCTCGCCCTCCCCCTCATCGACTTCCATGCGGTCCTCCGGGACGGCGCGCATCCCCCCGCTCCCCGCACCCCGCACGCTCCCCTCCGCGCCCGATCCCGTCCCGCCAAACACCTCCCTCACCTCCCGCCTCACCGCATCCAGCACCGCGTCCACCGCAATGAACCCGCCCGTGCGCCCCACGCCGGCAGAGCAGTGCAGCACCACCGGCGCCGCGCCCGCGCCCGCCTTCAGCGCGCGCCGCAGCACGCCCGTCGCGCCGTCCACCGCGCTGTCGTCACTGTCGCTGCTGTCCGCGGTGTCGCTGTCGCGGTGCGGCGGCGGCGGCGGATGCGCGTGCGCGTCGTCGTCTTCGTCCATCGCGGTGTGCGTCGTTGCCGGCGTCGGGTACGTCGGCGAAGTCGAACTCAAGTACGGCGGCGAAGTCGAACTCAAGTACGGCGGCGAAGTCGAAGTCAAGTACGGCGGCGAAGCCGAACTCGAGTACGGCGGCGAAGCCGAACTCAAGTACGTCGGCGAAGTCTTCGAGCCCGCGTACGCCGTCTCAGCCAAACCCGAATGCGCCACATCCGCCCTCACCCTCTCCACCTCCCTCCCCACCTCCCACACAAGCCCCAACACGCCCCTCGCGTCCTCGGGCACATTCATATCCGGCCACCCGAGGTACTGCAGCTGCACCACGCGCCGCGTCTGCCCCCCGCGCGTCAGCCGCAGCGTGCGCTTGATCAACTGCGGCGGCGGCGCGGGCGGCGTCGTCGTCGATGCCGCGCGGAACCCTGGTGACGTGGTGTTGAACCCCGACGCCGCGGGGTTGAATGTCGACTTGGGGATAAACGTCGACGTCGGGTTGAAGAACCCGCCGCCTCCTCCGGCACCCACCCCCTCCTCCGCGACCTCCGGCCCACACACCGCGCACCCCCCGGGTCGACACCCCTCCGCCGCGCACCCGAGCAGCTCGACGCGCAGCGCGCCGTACGTCCCCCCGCGCCAGTACGCGCCGCACTTGACCATCGCGCCCTCGACCTCGCGCGTCAGCATCACGATGACGTGCGTGTTTTGCTGCCAGACGAGCCTGCCGCGGAGTTTAGTTGCGTTTTCTTTTTACGAGAGAAAGAGAAGAGACGCACGTCCAAAAATCCCCAAACGTCGCGTCCAACGGGCCCTGCGTCGCAATATACCGCCTCCGCGTCCCAATCGGCTGCACATACGACGCGTTCACGTAGTCGTCGTGCTCCCTCTCCCTCTCCTCTCCATTCCCCCCTCCAACTCCGTGTGCTCCGTGTGCGCCAGGTACAGCACCCCTGGCGTGCAGCCGCACCCTCGCGTGCTCGAACGGCCAGATATTCCGGTACCTATCCGCGCGTCAGCGTCAGCGTTCCTTGTAGGAAGAGGGAGGAAGAAAACGTACCGGTTCTTGCTCCCCTTCTCCACGCCCGCTGTGATGCTGAACGGGAACAGGCCCTTTCCATTCTTCCCCTTTCCCTTCCCAGCTTTGCCCGTACTACTTCCGCTCCCACTCCCACTTCTACTGCCACTACCACTCCCGCTCCCACTTCCACTGCCACTCCCGCTCCCACTCCCACTGCCACCCCGGCCCGACGTCGACGTGGGCGACGTCTCCTCGCTCATCGATGCGTCCCCAGTCGAATTCGAGTTCGAGTTGGAGGGCAGCGAGCTATCGTGCTCCTCCCCGGGCCCTGTGCCGCTCTCCCGACTATGATGCTCCATGACGCCCATAAGCCTCCTCTGCTCCGCGAGCTCGATGCGATAAAACTGCATCGCGAGCGCCTCCGTGCCTTCCTCCACGCGGCTCGCAGACGGCGGTGCTGTAGGATGTGCATCAGTGTCGGTATAGAAAGGAACGGGATCGCCACGCACCTCCCCACATACTCCCACTGCTCGAATCGGAGCTCTCGTTCTCGTCCTCGCTCGAGTCCCTCTGCCCGCGGATGCCGCCGTAGCTAAATGCCGCCGGCGCGTGCGTGGGCGGCGACGCGGGCGCGGCGCGGCGCGCGATGTTGCGGAGCCACGGAAAGGGCAGCTCCGCGATGCGGCGGCGCACGCGGCGCGGGAGGCGCAGCGGGATGCGCTCGGTGATGCCGTGGGCGAGCTCGGTGTTCTGGCGCACGGCGTCGAAGAAGGGGTTGAATGCGTGGCGCGTGTCGGGGGCGGCGCCCGTGGCGGGGAGGGCGTTGTGGAGGACGGGGCCTGCGGCGGGGGCGTCAGCGGCTGCAGTGCGGCGGGGCCGGGGGGAGCGCGGGGTGGGCGGGCCGGGGTTGCGCCACTTACCTGAGCGGGAGGGGGCCTGCGTCGTGCTGGCGAGAGCGAACGCAGCGCGCGGTAGGTGGTGCGCGCGCAGGACCCGCAGCTGCTGCGGGGTGTCCTGCGCCTCCTCGCTCTCCTCGTCCTCGGTCTCGGTCTCCGTTTCGGGGGTTGGCGGGACGGTGTCGACGAGGTCGCGGCGGTGGGTCCACACGGCCTGGAAGCCGCCCTGGACCCAGGCGAGCTCTATGTTTGCGTCGGGGGCCTCTGCACGGAACTTGCGGAGGAGGCCCTGGATGTTTGAGGAGTCTGAGATGGCGGCCGAGTCTGCGTCGTAGACGAGGATGCGGGATGCGCTGCGCCAGGCGGAGAAGCGGTTGCGGGCTGCGCGCGAGGGGAGCATTGCGGACAGACGCTGGAGGGAGAAGAGGGGACGCTTGAGGAGGGTGGAGGGGACGGAGAGGGAGATTGCGCGGGCGATGTGGGCGGAGGAGTAGGCTGCGTGGGGCCGGATGTCGACGACCAGGGTCCGCGTATCGTCGAGCCACGGCGACAGCGCACCCGGGGGGACTGCGGTGTACTTTGAGGGCAGCTGGGGGGGTACGGGGGCTATATGAAGTGGCTGGGTGAGGGAGAGTCTTTCCATTGGAGTACTGGGGAGTCGGAGTGGGGGCGGGATGAGGCGGGCGGTGAGGACTCCTGCGTCGGGGCGTTCGCCGAAGCGTTGGCGGATTGCATCTGCGAACTCCTGTGTATCATCTGTCTGGTGGTGGCTGGCGTTGTGTAGCTGCACGATGCTCGGGCCAAAGAAAAAATCGTCGGTCTCGGACATTGAGGCAGGAGAGAGAATCCTAAATCAAGATCACACATACGTCATCAGTGGAACCAGATCCGTCATAGTCCCCTCATTTGATCACATCAGCGGATGGCGCCGGCACATAAAAAGGATCGTCGCTCCACATTCGGACAGTGACGTACCAACTTGCAAAGAACCTCCAGGAACCGCCACTTCCTGGCGCACACGGCCCGTGCTGGGAGGTGGTTCCGCGCCGGTCAAGCAGCGCCGAGTTCCTGTAGCCGTTTATTCAGCTGCCCGATGCCGTCGTCTCGGTCGTTCAGGCCGCATCCACTCAAAGTCACCGCTGTCACCTTCAAACTCAAATCCCACTTCAGCTGACCACATTCCCTGCGAATGGAGGTAGGGCGAGGGGAGGGCGGCCGAGATCGTTTCGGACTCGGGCGGCGACACATTCGACACAGGCAGAATGAACCGCATACGCACACTCACTCAACCTCAAACCCACCGCTTCGTCCAAGCCTCAAAGAACCGTACCCATTGCATGTATTGAGGAATGTAGCTTCAGCAAAAGCTCTAGTTGCAAAAATTGAACAAACCCGAGCCAAATCGTATTCCCACACACGCCCCCCGGGCTGTCGGAACGAGGCAAAAGTTTAGGTGATGTAGCAACTGCCGGCCGGACAACCACAATGTACACAATGGTTGTAATAACGACACAGGCACCAGTTTGAGTAAGATCGGACCCGGTTCGGCGCCGCCGTAAAAACGCAGCCCTGCACTCCTTCCACGCGGGCCGTTAAGTTACAGGCAGAAGGGAAGTGAAATGGCCTCGCCGGGGATCCAAGTAGAGTTAAAAAATAAGAAAAATCTCTCACCGCATGAAATAACCCGACCCCGGATCGAACGGGGACCTCCTGCTTCACAACATGTATCTCCACATATTGAGCAGGCACACAATCCAATTATGCTATCAGGTCCTCCTTACCTGGTGTGCATTCCTGGGTAAGTCGTGTTTGAAGCGGGATCAATTGAGGTTGAGGTTCCGAATCAATCCATGAAAAAATATGTAATTGAAGGCAGGCTGGGAAGACTTGGTTGTTTATTCACTCAAAACAGATGAGACGCGCTGTGCAAAATGAGGAGAGGATGCACTGGCAGCACGGGAGGGAGAAGTGAAAAAGTGGGAAGAAAAATATAAGCTCAACACCTGATGACCTGACCCCGAATCGAACGGGGATCCCCCGCTTCAATCTTTTTTTATCTAAATCTATATTCAGCAGGTGCACTATCCAATTATGCTATCAGGTCTCCCTAATTTTGTGTGCATTCCTGTCTAAGTCATGTAAAGGAGCCTTTGGCGTAGGATCAATTTAGGTTGGTTCCAAGTCAATTCATTAAAAAAAAATTGAAGGCAGCCTGGGAAGACTTTATCGTTTATTTGCTCAAAACAGATGAGACGCGCCGTGCAGAATAGGGATGCACTGGCAGCGCGGAAGGGAGAAGTGAAAAAGTGGAAAAAAACTGCTGGCTCCACAGCTCATGACCTGACCCCGGATCAAACAGGGATCTCCTGCTTACTGCATTCACGAATATATTGAATTCAGCAGGTGCACTATCCAATTATGCTATCAGGTCTCCCTTACTCCATGTGCATTCCTGCATAAGTGGTGCTTCAGGAGCGGGATCGATTGAGGTTGAGGTTGGGCTTCCGAGTCAATTCATTAAAAAAAATTGAAGGCAGACTGGGAAGACTTGGTCGTTTATTCACTCAAAGAGATGAGACGCGCCGTGCAGAATAGGGATGCACTGGCAGCGCGGAAGGGAGAAGTGAAAAAGTGGAAAAAAACTGCTGGCTCCACAGCTCATGACCTGACCCCGGATCGAACAGGGACCTCCTGCTTACCTATTCAATAGCATCGTAAAATAAACAGGTGCACCATCCAATTATGCTATCAGGTCTTCCTTACCCTGTGCACATGCCTGGTTAATTAGTGGAGTTGTGTCAATTAAAATTAACATTAAACTCCGACCCAATGTTTGAGGTTCCAATTCTGAAATAATTGAAAGGGGCTAGGGAATATTTTCATCGTTGACTTCCTCAAGAGAGATGAAATGTGCCGTGAAAAAATGAGGATAAGGAAGGGCGGAAGTGAGGGGCGGACTCGGAATCAAGTGGAAAAAGAAAAGAGAAACCACACGCTGAGGGATGTAACTCAAACCTGACCCCGAATCAAACAGGGATGTTCTGCTCATATCTCATTTGTGACTGGAAATGTAGGACAGGTGCATTAGCCAACTATGCTATCGGGTTTTGTCTATACCTGGTCTACCTTGGGATATATCAGGTTTGAAGTGGTTCAACTCCGCACATAATAAATTATGGCCGCTTGGATTGTTACTCGGCGTGGTGGTGCATTTATATAGAAATGAACTTGTATGCGTGCCCATTGCACCATGTCCGACAAATAAAAGGCAAGTGAATTGTTACCTGTCATAGTGCAGGCTCCCAAAATTCTCGCGTCGCTGTCTCAGAATAAGTCAACTATCCGCGCCGGCGACGATTTCTCCGCGCTGCGGTGCGAGGACGAGGGATAGAAGCGAGGGAGGATGAGATAGACCGTCCGAGTCTCCGAGCCAGAGTCGACTGCCAGTGCGCACGAAGGTTCATTGAACTTCAAGTGAACTTGATCATGTGAAAATACAAAATCGGAATCTCCGAGTCCCACGGCAGTGAAAAGTACTCGAATAAACCCTACGTAGGCGCGAGCGAAACTGAGATTGAATCGTGAGCTTGCTCGTGACTCGGAGACAGTGCCATGGTTCAACTTGAAGTTCAACTTTGGCTCTATTTGGTCCCGGCGGGCTCGGGCCGCCTTTTTGAACTCCCATCATCCCGCCCGGGAGTCAGGCCGGAGTCATACGGAGTCATACATTCCGGGACGTTCCCGGCTGTGCGTGCCCTCTCAGCTAACTACGCCAATGCCAACGCTCTTCAGCCCCCTCACGCTCGGGAGCGTAACCCTCCCCAACCGCATCGGCATGTTGTCCCTAGACTACTGCAGCCCGCAGATGACTGACTTGGTGACACACGCAGGGATGAGCGCGCTGACGCGCAACCGCGCCGACGTGTCGACGGTGCCCAACGCGCTTATGAAGGAGTACTACCTGCAGCGCGCCGTGGGGGGATGCGGCCTCATCGTCACCGAGGGCACGCTTGTTACACGCCAGGGGTATGGCCATCATCGTTTATTCAACGAAACGAGCTTTTAAATGCCGCCTAACAGCACAGAGTGGCCGCAGGCGCCGGGGATCTGGAACAAAGAACAGATCGGTGCGTGTGGATTCATACCAGGGGATGCCGCAGGCTCAGACGCGACGTTCAGCCGCATGGAAGACCATCGTTGACGCGGTACACACCACTGAGACCAAGATATACTGCCAAGTTTGTCCCTCAATTTACATAATTGACTGGCAGTTCATTTTTTTTCCGATCTAGGTTTGGCATTGTGCGTTACCTACCTTCTCGTTGAGTGTTCCTTAATCTTACTTTCCAGTGGGCCGCGTCAGCCATCCGGACGCCCCAGAGCAGATCGCCGCAGGCGTGGTTAGCATTCCATGCTCGCATAGTCTATTCTCTCGTCTTACCACCAAAACCTAGCCCGTCTACGGTCCATCTGCAATCTCTGCGCGCGGAGGGAAATTCCGCTTCCTCCCAGGAAAACCTGGCTACGTGACTGTGGGTTTCAGTTTCTGGTTCTCGTACCTCCAATTTTATCATCTTGGTTTTCTAGCCCACGGAGATTGAGGACCCAACGACGCTGATCGCGCTGTTCAAGCAGGCCGCAATCAACGCGAAGGAGGCGGGATTTGATGGCGTCGAGCGTGCGTGGCTTCGGGTTGAACTCCGCTGCACGCTGATCGAATCGCCTAGTGCACGGCGCGAACGGGTACCTGGTCCACCAGTTCCTTGACTCGACTTCGAACAAACGCACCGACAAGTGGGGCGGGAGCGTCGAGAACCGCGCGCGTTTCGGACTCGAGACGCTCAAGAGTTTGATCGAGGTGTATGGTGCGGATGTAGCCGTGAAACTGAGCCCCGGTACGCTGTGGTCCGTATGTCTCTCATCGTTCGAGGTTTAATTCGGCTTGTGCAGCGGGGGGATACAACGACGTGGGCATGCCGCTGCCGGAGACGATCGAAGTGTACACCTACTTCATCACCGAGGCCGAGAAACTCGGCCTTTCGTACATTGTGCTGGCGCGCTACCTCGAGATCAACGGTTCACATTCATTCGCATTTATGCGCAGCGCACTGACGCGCCGCCCGCAGGCGAAATGGACGCAACACCGCACGACGTCCTCGCGACCTTCCGCCCCGCCGTCACGCGCGCCAAGCTCTTCGCCAACGACAGCTTCACGCCGGCGGAGGCGGAGGAGATGGTTGCGGCGGGCACGATCGACGGCGTGTTCTTCGGGGTGCTGTGGCTCGCGCATCCGGATCTGGCGATGCGCGTGCGACACGGGAAGCCGCTTGATAATGAGCCGGACGAGAAGAATTTCTTTGGGCACCCTGATACACCGCCCCAGTTGGGATTCACGGACTACCCTGCGTGGCCGAGCTATGAGTGACCTGTAGGAGAAGGATTAGAATTTTGACTGAATTTCCCCTCAGTGTACAATAAAATCTGGAGTGGTATAAAAGTTGTTTGAACGGGTTCAACTCCTCACAGAATAAATTGCGGCTTATGTAGTTGAATTTTTGACTGTTGGCTCGAATGACTGGCAGGATCTTTGAAGCCAGGTGAGAAGAGTAGGACAGTGCACAACCAATTGAAATAAAAATTGAACTTGGAAAACAGTTGTCAAACTTGAACCGAATGGCCATGAAAACTCCTGCCCCAGACAGTTGTGCGTCTGATATAGAAATGAACTCGCATTAGTGTCCATTGCGCTATGCACGACAAATCAAAATCAACAAATCCCTGGTCCATGTGGTCCGCCCCCGTCAAAATACCACGACCAAAATCTCGAGTGGTGCTGTCTCAAAATCAACTTGTCAACCCCCATCGGCGGCAATTTCTCCGCGTCGTGGTGCGAGGGTGAGACACAGAGGGATCGAGGAAAAAATTCATTCGACAGAGGTCTCCAAAGGCGGGTACGACGGATCAGTTTGTGTGAAAATCGTCGGACATCGAGGAAAGAGAGAGAATTCGAGATCAGACACACGTCATCGCCTAACCGGATCCGTCTATACTCTGCCCCTTTGATCGCATCGACGGACGGGGCCGGGACTCAAGGATCGTCGCTCCACATTCGGATAGTGGCGTGTCAACTCGCCAAAGATGCCAGGAACCGCCACTTCCTGGCGCACGCGGTCCGCGCTGGGAGGTGGTTCCGCGCCGGCCAAGCAGCGCCAAGTTGCTGGCGGCCCACCTGTTCAGCCCCAGCGCCACTGCCCGATGGTCGCCTCGGTCCAAAACGAAGACATTCCCTGGCTGGCTAATTACTAGTCACCGCTGTCACGTTCAAACTCGAATCCCACTTCAGCTGACCGCAATCCCTGCGAATGGAGATAGACTCGCTAGGACGAGGGGAGGGCGGCTGAGAGCGTTTCGGACTCGGGCCGCGACGCATTCGATGGGACAGGCAGAGTGAACCGCATGTAGTCCGCCGCCACAAAATAGCTGCATACGCGCACTCACTCAACCTCTGAATCACCGCTTCGTCCAAGCCTCTGCAGACGGTGGACAAAGAACCGTCACGGTACCCATTGCACGCATGGAGTAATGCACATATGCACGCTTCAGCAAAAGCCCTAGTTTGCAAAAATTGAACAGACCCGAGGCAAATCGTATTCGAACACACGCCCCCCGGGCCCTCAAAACGAGGTAAAACTTTCGGTGATGTAGCAGCTCCCCGACGGAAAACCACTATGTACATAATAGTTATAAAAGCGACACAGGCATCACCAGTTTGAGTAAGATCAGACCCAGATCGGCGCCGCCGTAAAAATGCAACCCTGCACTCCTTCCACCGCGGGTTATTAAGTTACAGTATTGAAAGTGCTCGTAATGGCAGAAGGGAAGTGAGATGGCCTAGCTGGAATCCAAGTGGAAGGTTGCAAAGAAAGAAAAAACACGCACCGAGGACAATAACTTGACCCCGAGTCGAACAGGGATCTCCTGCTTTAATCTTCCTGTCCAATCCATATATACCAGGCACACTATCCAATTGTGCTATTAGGTCTTCCTTACCTAATGTGCATTCCTGGGTAAGTGGTGTGAAAGAGCCTTTGGCGTGGGATCAATTTAGGTTGAGCTTGGCTGCTTGAGGTTCCGAGTCAATGCATAAATAATTGAGGGAAGACTTGATCGTTTATTCACTCAAAACAAATGAGACGCGCTGTGCAAAGTCAGGGTGCACTGGTACAGTGGCAGTGCGGAAGGGAGAAGTGAAAAAGTGGAAAGAAAACTACAAGCTCAACACCTGATGACCTGACCCCGGATCGAACAGGAATCTCCTGCTCATAGTTCACGATCGCCTTAAATTCAGCAGGTACACTACCCAATTGTGCTATCGGGTCTTTCCTATCCTGTGCACATGCCTGCCTAAGGCTGAAACTGTGTCAATTTTTGAGGTTCCAATTCTGAAATAATTGAAAGGGGTTGGGGGATCCTTTCATCGTTGACTTCTTCAAAAGAGATGAGATGTGCCGTGAAAAATGAGGATGAGGCTGGGCAGAAGTGGGAAGTGGGCTTACTGTAAACTTGGAGGGCAAAAGAAAAAGAAAAAGAAAAAGAAGTGATCCTTCCCACTGACTTGACCCGGATCGAATGGGAATCTTCTGCTTGCTAGTTATGACTCTTCGAAACTCAGCAGGTGCACTATCCAATTGTGCTATCAGGTCTTCCCTATGTCTAGCCTGCCTTGGGATATATCAGGGTTGAAGGGTTCAACTCCGTACATAATAAATTGTCGCCGCTTGGATTGTGGTGCATTTTATATATAAATGTACTCGTATGCGTGCCCATTCCACCATGTACGACAAATCTAAAGGCAAGTGAATTGTCACGCGTCATAGTGCAGGCTCCCAAATTCTCGCGTCGAATCGAGTGGTTACAGTGCTGTCTCAAAATTAAGTCAGCTGTCCGCGCCAGCGGTGATTTCTCCGCGCCGTGGTGGCGAGAGCGAGGGAGGACGAGAGAGGCCGTCCGAATCTCGAGCTCTGAGGCAGAGTCAACTGCCAGTGAGCACGAAGGTTCATTGAACTTCAATCCCACAACAATGAAAAGTGCTCGAGGAAACCCTGCGAAGGCGAGCGTAAATGGGATTGAATCGTGAGCTTGCCAGTGACTCGGAGAAAGCCCCATGGTTCAACTTGAAGTTCAACTTTGGCTCTGTTTGGTCCCGGCGGGCCCGGGCCGCCTTTTTGAACTTCCCATCACTGTCCCGCCGCTTCCAAGCGCGCGAGTTCATTTTCCTAGACATATCTTTGTACTCTCCTGCCTGCGAAGAAATTAGCGCTCAGCGCTTAGCTCCCACGCCCTCCGCTGCGGCCCGGGGGATCGTCTATCGGACCCATCCTGGCCAAAGAAGCCTGAGCAGGGTTTATAAGCGTCCTGATAGCAGATAGCACCCACAACCAGTGCCCACTCAGCTACGCCAATGCCAACGCTCTTCAGCCCCCTCACGCTCGGGAGCGTAACCCTCCCCAACCGCATCGGCATGTCGTCCCTGGACTACTGCAGTTCGCAGACGACTGACTTGGTGGCGCCCGCAGGGATGAGCGCGCTGACGCGCAACCGTGCCGACGTGTCGACGGCGCCGAACGCGCTCATGAAGGAGTATTACCTGCAGCGCGCTGTGGGGGGATGCGGCCTCATCGTCACCGAGGGCACGCTTGTTACGCGCCAGGGGTATTTCCAATGGCTTTATTCGACGCAACCCGCTTTTAAACGCCGCCCAATTGCAACAGGACAGAGTGGCCGTGGGCGCCCGGGATCTGGAACCAGGAACAAATCGGTGCGTGTTAACTCATACCGGGGGATGTCGCAGGCTCATATGTGACGTCTAGCCGCGTGGAAGACCATCGTTGACGCGGTACATACCACTGAGACCAAGATATACTGCCAAGTTCGTCCCTCAATTTACATAATTGATTGGCAGTTCATTTTTTTACAATCTAGATTTGGCATTGTGCGTTACCTACCTTCTCGTTGAGTGTTCCTTAATTTTATACAACCCAGTGGGCCGCGTCAGCCATCCGGACGCCCCAGAGCAGATCACCGCAGGCGTGGTCAGCATTCCATGCTCGTATAGTTTGGCGTCTCGTCTTACCACCAAAACCCTAGCCCGTCTACGGCCCATCTGCAATCTCTGCGCGCGGAGGGAAATTCCGCTTCCTCCCAGGAAAACCTGGCTACGTGACTGTGGGTTTCAGTTTCTGGTCCTCGTACCTCCAGTTTTGTCATCTTGGTTTTCTAGCCCACGGAGATTGAGGACCCAACGACGCTGATCGCGCTGTTCAAGCAGGCTGCAATCAATGCGAAGGAGGCGGGGTTTGATGGCGTCGAACGTGCGTGGCTTCGGGTTGACCTCCGCTGCACGCTAATCAAATCACCCAGTGCACGGCGCGAACGGGTACCTGGTCCACCAGTTCCTTGACTCGACTTCGAACAAACGCACGGACAAATGGGGTGGGAGCGTCGAGAACCGTGCGCGTTTCGGACTGGAAACGCTCAAGAGTTTGATCGAGGTGTACGGTGCGGATGTAGCCGTGAAGTTGAGCCCCGGTACGCTGTGGTTCGTATGTCTCTCATGGTTCGAGGTTTAATTCGGCTTGTGCAGCGGGGGGATACAACGACGTGGGCATGCCGCTGCCGGAGACGATCGAAGTGTACACCTACTTCATCACCGAGGCCGAGAAACTCGGCCTCTCGTACATTGTGCTGGCACGCTACCTCCCGTTCCTCGATATTGAGATAAACGGTTCGCATTCATTCGCATTTATGCGCAGCGCACTGACGCGCCGCCTGCAGGCGAAATGCGCGCAACGCAACACGACGTCCTCGCGACCTTCCGCCCCGCCGTCGCGCGCGCCAAGCTCTTCGCCAACGGCAGCTTCACGCCGGCGGAGGCGGAGGCGATGGTTGCGGCGGGCACGATCGACGGCGTGTTCTTCGGGGTGCCGTGGCTCGCGCACCCGGATCTGGCGAGGCGCGTGCGACACGGGAAGCCACTTGATAATGAGCCGGACGTGAAGAATTTCTATGGGCACCCTGATACGCCGCCTCAGTTGGGATTCACGGACTACCCTGCGTGGCCGAGCTATGAGTGACCTGTAGGAGAAGAACTAGAATGTTGACTGAATTTCCTTTCGGTGTACAATAAAATCTGGAGTGGTATAAAAGTTGTTTGAATGGGTTCAACTCCTTACAGAATAAATTGTTGCTTATGTACTTGAATTTTTGACTGTTGGCTCAAATGACTGGCAGGATCTTTGATGCCAGGTGAGAGTAGGACAGTGTAAAACCAGTTGAAATCAAAATCGAACTTAGAAAAAAGTTCGACGTGGTTGTGCATCTGGTATAGAAATGGACTCGCATCAGTGTCCATTGCACCATGTACAAAAATCCAAATCAACAAATCTCATGTCCAGGTGGTCCCCCGTCAAAATGCCTCAACCAAAATCTCGAGTGGTGCTGTCTCAAAATCAACTTGTCAACCCCCATCGGCGGCGATTTCTCCGCGTCGTGGTGCGAGGGTGAGACAGAGAAGGAAAGAGGAAAATAAACATTCGACAGAGGCGGTCCGAGTCTCCAAAGGCGGAGTCAACAGAGTACGAAGGTTCAGCTTGCCAGTGTGTGAATCTCAGCTTAATGCCAGAAATGCGAAATCGGAATCTCTAAAACAAAGGTTTAAAGAAACGGCTTGCAGAGGGGAAAAAAATTGAGATTGAATCGTAAGCTTGACACCGAGAGAGACCCAAAAATGCTGACTCGGACATGACCGTCATGTTCAAGTTCAACTTTGGCTCTGTTTGGTCCGTTACGCATTTTGAACGCCCGCTTCCACACATCCAAGCGACGTCGCATCTCCCTGTCCTTCTTTCCGACTGCTATGATGACGCGTAACGCATGTAGGCAAAGCGCAATGCTCACCCCTTTTTGTCGACACCGTTTCCAACGGAGGATAGCGAACAAGACCTCGTCTGTCTTCACCGATGGGCCTCGCTGATCCCCCGTGTTCTGCCAAAGTGTGCCAAGTTCGACATCAGTCATCTCCCACGCCCTCCGCCGCAGACCGGGGTATTACCTAGCGGATTCATCATCCTGACCGGTCTGACCAAGGTCTGACCGACCATTCCCGCTCTGCCGCCAGTGAGGGTTTATAAGCTGCGTGATGTGGCGAAGTCCAGACACCCAGTGGCCACCTCACCTACGCCAATGACGACGCTCTTCAGCCCCCTCACGCTCGGAAGCGTAACTCTCCCCAACCGCATTGGCATGCCGTCCCGCAGACTGCATTCGCAGACGACTGAGTGAAGCACGCAGGGATGAGCGCGCTGACGCGCAACCGCGCCGACGTGTCGACGGCGCCGAACGCGGTCATGAAGGAGTATTACCTGCAACGCGCCATCGGGGGATGCGGCCTCATTGTCACCGAGGGCACACTTGTTACGCGTCAAGGGTGTGTCCAATCGCTTTATTCGACGCAATGAGCTTTTAAACGCCGCCCAACAGGACAGAGTGGCCGCAGGCGCCCGGGATTTGGAACAAGGAGCAGATCGGTACGTGTTGAATACGAGAAGGTGCCGCAAGCTAACAGACGTGACGTTCAGCCGCGTGGAAAACCATCGTTGACGCGGTACACACCACTGAGACCAAGATATACTGCCAGGTTAGTCGCTTTATTTAGGTATCAACATATACTGGCGACTCATTTTTGATAGCTTTGGCATTGTGCGTTACCCGCCTTCTGGTTGGGTGTTCCTTAATCTTGCATCCTAGTGGGCCGCGTCAGCCATCCGGACGCCCCAGAGCAGATCACCACAGGCGTGGTCAGCGCTCATGCTTATATGTATACTGCCTCTCGTCTTAACACCAAAACCTAGCCCGTCTACGCTCCATCTGCAATTTCTGCGTGCGGAGGGAAATTCCGCTTCCTCCCAGGAATGCCCGGCTACGTGACTGTGGGTTTTAATTTCTGGTCATCGTACCTCCAATTTCATCGTTTTGTTTTTCTAG